TATCCACAAGGCAGAATACTCTCACCGATCGTCATCCAAATCTCCTAACGAACATGGACATATTACGTTCACGAGATTGAAGACATTTAGCGAATTACACGCAACAGTCATTTATTTCAACGTAGATACAAATTTGTGGAGATTATATTATATATACTTTAACTTTTCGTGGCCAAATAGTAGTTGATTTTCCGAATATGTTCTGGTTTCTACGGAAAGTTAATTTCGAATTCCATCGGACGTCAAAAATAGTTTTCCTATTTGCACACAGCTGAGAGTTCTTGTCCAAAGGTCGTTTCACCTTTATGAATCACGTACGAAAAAACGTGAATTTTTTTTACGAAGAATTAGCTAATTTCTTCCTGTTTTATGACGTTGGAGGTCATTGTTAAGGACAAAGAAGTAAAATGTCTAGTGCGTGAAAATTCTAAAACGACGTGAAATGTGCTGAAGCGCTGCTTGGTCACGAGTCTCACGACGCGCTGAGCGGAAGGATGTTGCGATTGAGGTGGGACGGCCTAAACCGGTTTGGAACGAGCCAATTCCTTTAATCAAGTTATTGAACAATTGCATAATAATATGCAAGATGAATTTTGCAGACGATTAAAAGTTTTTATTCAATTTTCGGAACCTAAACGTGATGCATCATGTTGCATACAGTACAAATTTATAGAAGATATGAGAGCTACATATGTTCTCTGGTGCTTCTGCAACGCCGTTGGAGTAGTATGAAAGTAACATACCTTGAACGAAGAATCTGAAGGTAAATCTCCGAAAACAGATTTCAAAATATTTTTACATAAATGGTTACCTGTTTGAGCTTTTCATTATTTTTCGTAGCCTGGATATAGACGCAAATACCGTTTATAGTTTGAAGAAGGTAAAATATGCGTTGACATCAGCAAGGAAATCTGTTGAAATAATTTTAAATTAGCCCCGATAGAAGTATGATATTTTTCCGAATCTTTACACTACTAGACAATTTTTTTATAAGCATTTGTTTGTTGCATACATTAGTTTTTTTAATCCTCGCAGCGGGAAAATGTTGAAATATTTTATGAATAGATATGTTCATTTTTGGCATAATGCAATGTACAATTGACTTTAAAATGCCACTATGTGATCCCTCCCATCTCAAAATTATTCACAAACGTCAATTAAGAGCAATAGCATGCAAAAACTGAATGTCATTTTGTATGCGCATTCTGTCACGTCAGTGAACCGATATAAGAATTTTAATTAGGTCGCATATTTCCTATATCGACTTCAGTCTGTGCAGGTCAAGTAATTGATAAGACCATTTTCACGTGACTTGCATTGCGATTGCGTGATATAAATTGATTAATTAATATTCTGTCGGAACTATAATGAGATACCTGTCAATAAGTACAAATCTAATGATATCACCACTGTTGAGACACGGTTCCGTTTCATGTCACGCCATGCCATGATTGTTTTTGAGTATTCCGGACGATAAATTATGGAATTAACAATTGCCATTGGAGGACATGCCGCACGAATGCATTTTGTGCTAGTAGCGCACAGGTATTATGCAGCATTCTTGGCCGTCTGCCCGTCATATTGGATATGAAGGAACACTAGAACCCAAAAAGACTGGAATTTGCATTTTGGACATCCTATGGACCTATGGATCGTTTTGTTATTATACTGTTGTTGTTGGTATTTTTCTTTTTCTTGTTGTTCGGAAAAAATATATTTTTTTTTATTACTGGACTGTGTGCTTTGAAATTTTCGGTGGTTAAAGCTTGTATTTGTTTCTAGAAGTCTATTATTTTTTTTTATTTCGGGAATTTCTAGGGGCTCGTTTTCTATGTACAATAACGTAATCATAAAGTGCGCACCTTGTGGCGGGCCCACTTTCGCATTAGTCATGAAGACTTCCGTAGGCTACCTGTCAACAGGTCTGGTGACTTTTTTGTGGCTCTGGAGCCAGGCCACTCAAACCAGGCCATGGAGAATTTGGTGCCAGGCCACGCAAAATTTAAAGCCGGGCCAAAAAACTAATACTATTCCACTCTCCATTCGGTAACAGTGTGGATGTTTGAGTGTGAGTCCATATTACTGGTCTGATTTAGTCTCTGGCTTCACTTCATGTCCTGCACTTCCAGGCAATAAATTTTCAAGTAAATAGTTTTTGAACATGACCTTCATATTAGCATGATTTGCGTATACCTTCAAGATCATTAGCTTCCCGCTAAGGACACTCCCCCCCCCCCAAACCATTAATTCAACTAAGCCCAATTATATAGTATTTAGTTATTGCATGGGTTTGACTCTGTGACTCAACTTAATTCCGTTGGAAATTGGTTAAATATGCAATATCATCGCCAAACAAAATACATATATATATTTGTAAGTGGATTATATCAGTCCTGGATCAGACATGGATACGAACTTAATTGGGCTTGAACTAACATTAAATTCCTCGTGGCTTGGGATATAAATTCATGTGGCTTGGCTCCAAATTATGTGTGGCCTGGCTTCAAATATTGTGTGCCTGGTTTCATTAGAGTGGCCTGGCTCCAAAGCCACAAAAAAGTCACCACTCCTTTTCGTACCTGTAGTCTACTGCAGGGGTTCTCAAACTTTTTGTGTTGCGGAGCCCTTGAAAAAGTTGACTATTATTCACGGAGCCCCAAAATAAATGTTAAAATTGTTACTTTCCGAATAATATTCCTGAGTAAGTCAAACGTACTGTACTTATTTTAAATGCTTAACCTCTTTTAATAGGGTTAATACAAGTCATAAATGAATCTAAATGTAAAAGATGAATTATATATACTAAAGCTGTAAACTTGATACTTGACAAACATATTAATAAATTAGGGGTCGGATCTTTTACCTTTAGATATTTTTGAAAGACTTAAAAGGCCGCTAATAACGTACTCGATTGCATTTTGTTACGATCGCCGATTGTTTTCGTCAGCATGGCGGTGTTTATTCTCCCTAAATCAAAAATTTTCCTCGACATATACATGTATGATGTATTGTTCCACAATGACGACGAGTATTGCTTTTTTGTTCTCGTGGGGAATTATGAGTTCAATGTGAAAAACATGTTACCATATTATAGTCACCGGAGACGAAATGCTAAAAATAATAAATAATAAAAGGTAAATCCGCAACTCAAATTTCTTGATTGAAAAGCGGCATACTGAAATATTAAAACTAAAACTTAAAATGGGAGATAACACTATAAGTTTTGTTTCAGCAGACTCACGTCAGATTAAAAACACGTTCATAGACATTGTGAATCAAAAATTTGGTGTTATGTTGGGTTTTCTTTGGTTATTCGTCGTAGTAACTGCGAAACCGAAACACAGTCAATTGTGCGCGCGATGTACCTATTTTTCCATTCTGAAACTACCGACGGAGCCGCATGCAATGAAATAAATTTCAATCTTTCGTATTTTGCCCCGACCTCTTGTTTTTTAAACGGCGACATCTTGCTCGTGAGTGCGAAAGAACAAAATCAAGCTTGACAAATCCCAAGATCGCAAAAATACGACTGCAATTTATGTATAGTTGGCAGTTTTTCGCGTATTTTATGTTATTACAGAATAGTAGTCTTTCATTTCAGTAATCCTAATAGTAAAATTAGCCAATTCAGTATTTTAAAAAGTAATCGAATAGCTCGCGGAGCCCCTGGGTTTGTCTCACGTTGCCCTGGGGCTCCGTACGGAGCACTTTGAGAACCTATGGTCTACTGCAACGAGTCTACTGTGACAGATTGCTTACCCGTACTACTACTATGTTTTCGCCTCCGTGTCCATATATTTTAGCATTGGTTTCTTGTTTATTCTTTCATTGTCGCTGTGTCGTGTACACAAGAATGTGGAGGGAGGGCCATGGTTTCGACATATATTTCTTCCTCGTTGCATTGCACGATTCCTTGGCTGACTTCGAGCACCTCTGTCGCACCATTTATTTATTGCCTGACTGCTGTTAAGTCAGTAAAGTGAGTCTTGCTTTCGTTACTCTCTGTATCTCTTAAATCAGTCTATTTTTTCTAGATGATGAAGTTCTTAAAGTGTTGCATTGGACTATTGTACCTATTGTGTGGTGTGACAGCACACGAATCATTTACGGGTTTCGCAAACTAGGAATCGTATGCATAAGCACGATTGCTGCTGAGAGTCCACCGCGAACGTAGACGCAGAGAGTGGTTTTAGTTGGTATCGAAAATATGTATGACCGTGGCATATCACGAATAAGTTCTCTAATCATGAGAGGTTCGATTGAACGGAGACTATTAAGATGGGGAAACCCCTAAGATGGAGATAGAGACACCCTAACCTGGTACACATATTATGTTCAGGTCGTGAGCCATCTTGGTACGAATACTTCGATAGCACCGACTCATATATATGCCATGCATATGCTCAGCTGATACAGCAGAGATGTTTTTTGGCAGAAATTACCCTGCTGCAGAGACCACCATCCAGCCTGCAGGCTCATCTGCCCAAAATCGTTGGTCTAGCAGGCTACAAAGATTTATATCAGCCGCTTTTAGTTCGGTGGATAGAAACAGGTTGTACTGCTTACAATCATAGCTGTAACGGGGCAAGGCCCTGCCCTGACAATGTACGGGGAAATGCTTTGAGCAGATTCGAATCTCTGAATCTCCTTGCCATTCTGTACTTCACCGAGCGTGGTTTGATTAGTATTCCCATTCTTTGGCCACTTCTAGCGTGCATAATATTGTTTCATGTTGCAACGAGAATGAGACACCGCAGTCGCAATGACCATTACAACATCACCTATTCTCTATATGTACTCTATCCTACTTCTGTATTCAACTTTTACCTATATGAAAGATTTGCTGTAAGCAACACGTGCATGCATAACTAAATAACATACTGTCTAAAAATTACCCCTATTTTCTGCTATTCAACCGGGACACTGTGTCCTTACGTAAAGCGAGATATTATGCAGAAAGATTAACAAAAAATATATATATAGGAAAACTCAAGCAAACCAAATTGTTTTTATGATAGATTAAGTTAGGAACAATTCGTATTTCAACACAGTGAATATCAACAATGTAATAAAAAAGTAGATAAAATATCAATAAAATCAGGAGCTTGTGGCCATTCAATATTCGTATGTCATTCCGCGAAGTGAGAAGACAACTATGAAGCTAGATATAGCTGTTTCGATCCATAATAAATTTTTAACGAAATAGGACCTTGTATTTTGACAAGTGTCAAGGAGACTCCAAACTGCTACCGCATCCTACTACGACAAGTGTTGTGCGAGGCTATCCAACCTTACAAGCTTGAACTCGATCCGATATTAATTTGGAATCCTGTAGTTTGCTGAAGTTGGATTGACCCGATTGATTAAACCTCCGACATCAAACCTGAACCCGACAACACAAACCACATTCTTACAATATTCAGATTTCAATAGAAGGGAAATTTTGTTAAGATGTAGTCTTCAGAGTTTTTTTTATGACGCATCTAGCAAGCTGTAGCACTTTTCCAATCAGATAAGCTCAATGAAACTTCGGAGTCAGTTGAGGTAGAATGTGTCAAAGGAGGACGCGAAAATTCAAAGTTCAGACGAGGCTGAGAAGGAGGTCCAACCGCAGGAGGATAATTGAGAGAAAATCCACGACGAAGTGGTTGCTTTGGTCTTCCGTTTCGTATCAACTGAGCTCCGTCAGACGATGAAAAATCTGGCAAGGTTGTAGCGCTGTAACTGTATCCTCGCCTTGGCCCTGAAATAAAAAAAGGACATGACTTAGTTAATTTAGTCATTTTATCAAATTTTTGTACTTTTCATTGGCAACGTATATTAAGCATTCGGTTGGTTTATCGCACGTATATGACATGGGACTTGCCTGTTGAACACTTCTAATACTAATGATATCAGAAGACAAACATTTGATGTACGCAGAGTACAGTTACTTAAGGTTTTATTGTCAGTTACACGAATCTAAAATTTTGCAGTGCCGAAAGCACGGTAACTTAAAAGCTACGACCACCTTAGAGCTATACAACATGTGCTCTTTGTGACTGCTCCATTCACCCCAGCTGATTGCAAGCTGTACAGTATATACGTATGTTTGAAAAAGCAGAGTATTCTGGTTATGATATTCATATAATAGCAAGCGTAACTTACACCATAAAGATGCTGCACTGTGTAGATCATCATAAGAATCAAACTCTTCAGCAACATTGAAGTCGGATCTCAAATCTTTTATAGTTGAATGGAGTTTTATGAGTTGTAGAAATAATGACTTATCTTGCTCCCTCATTTCATGCTACAAATAAAAACAAGAAAATTCATGCTAATACCATGGTGACAAAAATTCACAACTATTCCTGATAAACTTCTCCTCATTTTGCTCAGAGCAAAGTTTACTGAATATTGTTGGTAGATGATATATTTTCATAAAACATAGAATTATGTCCAGCACCGTTGTCGTTGATGTATACAGTAAATTTTGCCTTTTAATTCGTTCTGTGATCCCTAGCTGGGAACGGTAAATGTACTGATCTCGAACAGAGCGCGCTGTCATTTTCTTTGATTGCGTGGAAAGCTGATAATGAAGAAAGATTCATGGACGGAATCGTACTGTTTAGTTAATAACGTATTACGTGACGGGAGTTTTCGAATCCGATTTTGGATTGGAAAAATTTCTAGGGTTTGTAAAACATTCTTATTCTAACTTTATCAAATAATGTAATTACTGATTCAAAAATACCTCAAATTATACTAATCGTACCAGTTCAAGTCTAATCCATTGTAGTCCAGTAGCAACATCAACTTTTCCCGGACCTTGATGCCGCAACTGCTCCAGTTTTTGTCTTGCTAATTGCGACATAGTGTTTGAAACCGTATCACGTGACTCGCTTTCCAGGTCGACGTCACTGTCATTAGAATTATCTGTGTTAGAATTACTTGAAAAGCTTGCGCTACCACACGGGCTAGGGGTGTTACTGGAGCCTTGGGCCTGCATTGCCGTTTCGCTCTTTGCTGGTAGTAATGGGGAATATTGTCTCTTTATTGAACGAAAGAATCCTGATCTTAATTGCTGAGTTGTATCAAAAGAAAGTCGTTTTGCTTCTGTTGACATATGTAAAAATGGAGGCGATTTCTTCTCAGCTTCTTCAGCTCCTTGCAAATTATTATCAATAATGGAAGATTCGGGTATTTTTAAAAGTCCGGTTAAATTGTTCTGTTTCAATTCAGCTGTGGTCTCAACGTTATTGCTAGTTGTTGATGAAGCCGTAAATGGTGATGTTCTGTTGATTGGCGTAATCACATTTTGGTGGCTCTCTCGTTCTAATTCATCCTCAGTTTGTTGCAACGTCGAATTATTTACAAAACACGTACTACTGTTGTTATTTATCTCATTTCGTCTAAAATTGTAGCGCTTTGAAGCGTCGCCCCATACAATTGGATCTCTACTAGCGGTCTGGATTGTCCCGTTAAAATTACTTGAGGGCGAGGCATCTTTCGACGCAGTCCTTGCTTCATTTTTCCATGCTTTACGACAAACGATTTCTGATGATCGATTCCATTTTCTGACGTCTGAATGGTTGGTGGAGTATACGATGAGGATGACATAACAAACGGAGGCTTCATTTAAATTTATACCTGCGGATTACGATTTTTAAATTTACGAATTTAGTCTCTGCAAAATATTCAATGAATTTTCAAAAACATAAGGAATATTGCAAAAGTGCTCATTGGTCAAATGTAATATGAAAAGTTAAGAGATATATTTCTGTTAAAGTAAAGGCAATGTATGGGGTCAAACAATCAATATTTTGCGTTAAGAATTGGTGATCCATCTTGATCTATTTATGGGCTATGGATATTTCAAGAATTCGGGGGTTAATAAGGCTTAATTCCCTCTTTACACAAATAGCTAGCTTGATCTGGCACTAAATTTTCCTAACAGACTAATCGCGAGTGTGTATTTTCAGTGCCAATTCCAAAGTATAGCCTACTGTTCTAATTTACTTTTGCCTTCACCATATCATTTCTGCTCACATTCATAGCACCCACTTCTTCCGGTAGAAATATTCATCATGGACACATTGATATACCGCAACAAGGCATTGAAAACAATAGTACCGTGCAATGACGCAAAACCACTTAATGACGATTTTTGATGCGGAACCTCTCAACAAGAGCTTTGTACAAACAGATAATATTTTCGGTGCCAAGATATATGTATATCCATATCTACATCAACAAATTACGATTTTAAGCCATATGCTGTTTTCTGAATAAGCATTTCCAAAGCGGCGACAGTTACAAAAATTTGCGCAGTAATCACCAAAAGTCAAGCCAAACCACTGACCTACAACTTTACCAGAAAAACATGACCCTATCTCAAATACCAGTATTGATAGTCTTGTTGGTAGCAACTTGCTACAAGCTCTTGAATTCAGATCAAATGCTCTATGCAAGCTTTACTTCGTAATATTCACGTCTGAGTGGAAAGCAATAGCCGCATTTAATCAACAAATTCAAGCGAAATGATCAGCTTCAACCAGTGAATGTAATAACTCCCAAGGTCCGTCGGGATTTCCGATACTGATCGATACTCAGTAGTAGTATAGTTTTTAGTTATTTTTCTAGTTACCTATAATGTCATACTTTTTAAATGGTTGAAGCACGTAATACCGGTAATAATTACGACTATATAACTATTGAAAGCATGTTAAGCATACAGTTTATCTCAACAGTGTTGTAGAAAAACGAAACTAGGCGTGTATTAGTAGTATTCGTTTGAGGTATTCAATTCAACTGTAAATAATGAAAATGTCGGCGAAACCTCGTTTCAAGCATTTTCATTGGGATTACAGGAAAGTAGAACGAAAATTACATAATTATACTGATACTATACCAGTTGTGTTGTAATACGGGTGCATATGTTTCATTAATAGAAAATGACAAAGGTATTGGTACTAAATATGGTTATTCGAATAGATATCGAACACGCCCAAAAGCACAACCAGTCGCCCTGTAAGACTCGCCAAATATATATTCAAGTCACCGCCATACATAATGATTTTTAGCTTTCAAATACTCCTTGAAGATAATGAACTAAATTGAGTCTCTACTCCGGCGAATATGCATGAGATACAAATACAAAAACCAATTCCTATACCCACCTATAAAAACTGCTTCTATCATAACATATTGATACTTTTTTAATATCTCAAAAAAGTTAAAATATCTTAAGTATACTATAACCTTATAAACATTGGAACACAATTTTAGATATTTATAAAATATTTTTTTGCTTTTTGTCTAACTGTGGATGGACTAAACAAATCCATAGAACACTTTACCTTTACAACTCGTAGTAGTGCTTTTTAAATTCTCGAAATTCCAGACGTCTTATCCCTCCATAATTGCATATTCTGTTAGAATTTTTATAGAAATGCGGCATCATTATCTCAAACCGATCTCAGATTGAATGGCAGAAATATCGTTTAAAGCCCGAGGGAAGAGCCATTAACCGAAATGAAACACCTATTGTACGAAAAATATTATCCTATCTTGGTATCAAAACATTCACAATGCGAAAATACAATCAAAGTATAGAATAAATGACAAGAATAACGTGACTTGACGACAATTTCCTTGCTTGAAGATATATTTATTGTCTTTTTGTGAGTCCCTACTCGTGTCCATTCACACCTGCCTTTCAAAATGACCGATGTCCACTCAGCATTGTCTCACTTTAAATAGATGGACAAGACAATGTCTATTCTATGATTGTGTGTTCTACGTTTTGACTTTTAACCTCATTGCGTGGCCAAACACGTAGTTTTTTATGTAATTTCTGGTACATTACTATTTATTTTAACTTACAAAATACCTCTTACTTTCAAATATCTTTTCCCCGATAACAAACAAGAGAAAATGTGATATTATTGATTTAATCTAATTGCTCCAGTTTTTGTATTATTTGATTTATAATTTTTTGAAACAATGCAATGAAACGTGACCTAACAAGTCTTTCTATTTTCTTTAAAAAGTAACGTAAATTGTCTAAATCTTTGTCTTAAAGCTTTCTCGACATAATACGTTTATTATTCTTTACAATCTTTCAGTGCCATTTTTAACAGAGCGTACCTCATAATTAACAAGTAAACAAAAATTACATGACAATGCTCACTGTTGTCTTCCAACATTTTGTCTATTGGATTAACGCTAAATGACAATCTTAGCTTTTATAAATGCTCACAGCGGCGTAAACTCTAGGCAACTGATTGATGGAAAATACAGCACACCCCGAATATATTTATAACACGAAATACGTAAACAAATGAAACATGAATAACATCATTGTAGAATGTGAAAACGTTGAGATGAAAACAAATACCACATATCATCTTGTTTTCACGTTTTTTTACTACCCCTGAAGGAAAATGAATTTTCAATTCCAATCAATTATGCAGGCTTCGCCGGGTAGTGAGAGCCAATGCAACAAATATAATATAATAATTATAAATAAACAATGACAATATAATGCGTTTGTTTTAACTTTAGTTCCAGAAATGTACACATAACCTCAAATATATACTATCGTCAGAGCAACTATATAACCAAAACTTTACTATTTCACTCGTCCTTAAATATTGATTGTTTAAAAATTTGTGCGTCGATACTAATATTCCAAACAAAATTCATGGAAAACTTGTGATTAGTGGTATTACTCTCGTAGCTAAGAACATCCTGTCGTGTACGTTCGATCATCCCGTACGTTTATTGACTCTGAACACCAAACAACCCCTCTCAATCACCAATCTTCCATTTAACTACATATAACTAAATCCTGAAATCGGTTCTCATACAATCTGGTACTCACTAATAAAAAGGAAAACATAGTCTTCAACATCTTCAAGACCTGCTGCGATTTGATCAATGAACGAACGATAAATTTCCGACAAAATAAACAAACTCTTATCGGTAACCAACAAACATTGTCACCATTCAAGTATTCATCCTGTTTATTCATGAAGAAATACTGTTCAAACAGATTGTCAGGGAATAAAATATTTGTCATTATCACGACGTTAATCGCAAAAATAACATACTATTACTGTATGAAAACGCAAAAAATGACCATGAATTTAGTGTAATTCACAAAAAAAGTAGCAGAATTGCGATTTGTATTATATACGAAAGTTTTACCACAATTTCCGATCACATAGTTTTGTCTCGTCGGAGAATTTTACAAAATGTTCGGAATTAAATTAGACCATATAGCTATGTGGTGAAATAATTTGAGAAGATGAACCATTAAATTACCAATGGCTTTAAAAAGGAAATTAAATTGTTGAAATGAAATTATTAAACTCGGGTATTCAAATTACAGTATGCACTGATATAAAAGATTTGAATATTTAGGAGAATTTGTTCAAATATTTGTCGCTGAAACACTGCATGACTTTATCAAGCTTTAATAATCTTATAGTGGTAACGAAACATAAATAAATATTGATGGCACAAATTAGAGCAAAATGCGATAAAAGCGGTCTTTATATATTCGTACATTTATGCTCACTCGCACACCAATTGAAACGGAAAATATGCGGAATCAGTATTTCAAATTGCATTATTTAAAAAAATTATTAAAAGTGATTTATTATTTATACTAAAGTTTCAAGTAAGTATTAGTTGGTCCTACAGTAAACATATATGCAAATATCCGTATATATATCTGATTTTCTCCAAAGCATATCTAAAGCACTAATATAATAGGTTTATCAAACCACACCACATCTAACTAATTAATAAAAACAAAAATATGAAAAAAATACTCTGTCTCATAAATATAATAATATTGACATAATCTCAACAGTCGCACTATCTTTGTGTTTGGCACTTATGTGAGACGACAAAATATTCTATATCCTGATTCTATATATACATAAACACTGAAAATTTTTCAACTACCGTAACTCCAAGTACTGTCTAAGAATGCTGAAAACGCGGAACCGACTGGAGACAGCTTGGCACCGCAATTCTAATTAGCATAACACATGACGTCTTAAGCCTATCTATACCTGGTTAATAACGAGTTAATAAGTCTGGTGTAATAACACGTATAATTGAAATAATCACTTCCATGCACACCTCGCTATTAGAAAAATCAGCACGTTTTCTATAATTTACCAGTATTTTTTCTATTTTGACTGAATACCCGGTACTTCTCCAAGTATGCGAATTACATGGCGGCATGACCTATCAACTAGGCCTACTTGGCTAAGTTTGATTATGGCACCGTTGCATAATGACGAATTAACTACAAAATACTAGAAAGTTTGCTGTGAACTCAGAACACCATATACCTGATTTGGAAGCCCCAAAATAATGATGTCACGAATCGTAGAAAAGAGATTGTCCGTTTGAATCTAATTTAGCCAAAATTTGGCCAAGCCCGACGGCAATTGAAATATCGTGTTATAATCAGACGCCTTATTTACATAAAAAAAAAC